GCCGTAGATCATCAGTTCATTTTGAGATGGTCAAAAATGGTTCGGTCGTCAACTTGTCAAATTTAACTATTCTACTTTTTTGCTTGAAATTATCTTAAGAAAAGAAAAATTGGTGCTGTATCCTCAGTTATTAGCTCCTAAAATGCACTTCAAGTGGTGTTGGTCTCTTTTTTGGAAATTCACAACGCATTGATCATCAAATACTCGTTTGAGCCATACATGACTTGTTATGTCGCAGTCATCGTGAATTAGTCTGCAGAATCAAGTCATTGTCTGAAACCTACTGCAGAATTTTGAAAAACCGGACGTTCATTTTTAGCGTTCATCACCCCATTCCGCAAACAACTTGTTGCTGCTTCTGGATCTAGAAAAAATGTTTGTCTACTTGAGACTGGAATCCTAACCATTTTTGTCAAAGAATTTTTATCATCTGTTGTCAAGTGGGGCTGCTTTTTGCTAGTCACAATCCTGCATTGTTGGGTTTTCAGCTTTGTAACATGTATATCCAAATTCGTTGTCCCTTCACAACCATAGTTGACTTCAATCTCATTATCTCTTGTTTCAAGGTAGATGCCTAGTGATAGGTAACTCCAACTTGTTGTTCGGATCTCATCGAAGCTAAAGTAATGTCAAATTCAGTCTCTTTCAACTTCATGTGATCGGCATTGCTACAATGGTGTATGTCTGAATGGTTCCTGTGTATGCTCAAAAGGATGGGTTGGGAGTCAATGTGACCATTGCTATGGGCGAATAAAGTAAGTATGCCCTAAAATCTTACACATACGTCCGCTTTTTGGACTCAGAAAGTCTGCCTGTACAGACCCTTTGGATAAGTCCGCCCTAGCGATAAGTCCTTCATTTCATTATAACTACCCTATTTGTCAAATAAATTCGAAGACTGTTAGTCAGGACTTATCTGAAGGGAGGCCCTATCTGTGAGATTTTATCTTAACTCGGGTTCAGAAGGTTTCAAGTCACGTTTGCAAATGCTTGACATTCCAGTGATCCAGTCAAGACTGACTCTACACATTTTGTTTGTTTAGGCTCACAGAAAACCAGAGCCAACTCATTGACGGCCCCCTAGATTACAGCTCGTCTTCGAAGTGTACATGGGTTATTGAAAACGAAAAGGTTAGCACAGCGCAACCTTTTTGGCGGCCTAAAATATGCTTTCAGAAGTCTGGAGCACCTTTGAATATCAAACTTGAGAACTTCCAAACTGAATGTGGTTGGGACTTTGTGTACATCTACGATGGTGATGGCGTATACGGTGAACAACTTGCTGCTTTCTGGTATGTCGATTCACTCTTCCTTTTTCATACGGTAACAATTTGGAAGTGATGTTTCAGTGGTGAACAGGAAGTGCAAGAAATTAGCGCCCCTTCCGGTAAAGCACTAATTTATTTCTTCAGTGATTTAGCTATGAATTTGAACGGGTTCAACATTTCTTACGAGTTCAACAAGTAAGTGTACCATTCGAATATCTTATCGTTAGTGTCTCGCAATGTACATGTGTTACAGATGCCCATATAACTGTAATTTTCGTGGTAATTGTGAAAATAGCAAGTGTAACTGTAAGCCAGGTTATACGGGT